CCATGTACTCATATCAAGATCCATTCCTTGCGGAGGTTCCACTTTTGCCCATCTCCATTCCACCTCATATGATGTGTACAAGACAATAAAAATGCTTGTTTATGTTCATTTAACATTGTAGGTGATATCTAGTTAGTTTGTGTTAGGCCTTTGAAGTCATATAGGTTTTTCAGTTGTATTTGTAAGATTGAGAGGTAATGAGTTTTGTTTCTTCAGGTATTTTTACGATTAGGATTTACAATACAAAAAAGAAGCTTGTTAGTTTCAGTTTGGTGCATATTTTTCCCTTGGAATAAATGACTTGAGTGATACTTCTCACGTAGTTAATTTTTCAACTCAGATGTTCAATCTTTGCAGTTAATTCATTTGTAAACTATTCAGGTTGTTTTGCTAAATGGTTCCAAAAGCAAACATGAGCTAACTACTGGATTATTTCTCTCTACAAAATATGCAGAATGTTGTTCTAGAAGGTTTGAAAAATTTTTCTTTGCTAGTAGCTTGGATTATTGCAAAGAGATAATACAGAGTTTGCGGTAATTTGGTTCAATGTGACGAAATTACTAAGTTTTATTACTTGGACAAAATATATGATACTGATGGCACAACCTGTACTTGGCTGCTTGGAACATGGCTTTTGTAGTGTGTTATCAATTGTGAAAATTCGAAAAGAAACCAAAAGCATTGATTGGATATCGTGAAGGATAAGTTTCTTTTTTAGTAACACCGGGAACTTATCTGGTGATGATAAGTTCAAACATATTATTTGTGTTAAAACTGATGAGGTTGAGAACAATATAAGAAGTCACATGAGCTTTAATTATAGTCTCGATGTTATTTTACTCTCAGTGATACTCCACTTTTTAGTAGTCTGACATGGAGTGTAATCAAATCTATGAAGAGAAACATGTGATTTAGTTTGAAGCCAGAAGAGGGGCTGAGTTGTATCATGAAGGCTTTTCTACAAGAAGATATACTGAAAACACAAGGTACATAATGTTAATTAATATTTCGTCTTTCAAAAGCTTAGATCCGAATGTGAAAACGTAATCAATAAAGACATCATATTAGGAAGCAACAAAATCATATGCGAAAGATCAACTTGTGATTAATCTTGGTGCAGATAAGTTGACATGATTTGTTCTTGTATTTGCACGTTAATTTAAGTCTAAGTCTATAAATTTTGTCATCCATCATTGGTTTTGACTTGGACGACCAGTACTCTCGCAACAGGAAACTTGAATTATTTTGGTCATGTCAAAGTTTTCTTCTATTCTTTCCATGATGCGAATGATGTCAACATTCAATATGTTCTGTTAATTTATTGCCAAAATACTACTAGAAATGGTGACTGGAAAGGGAATTGCTATTTGTTCTGAACTGATTATCAAATTCCGATGACAGATGATGCAGAATGTTCTTCTTATCCTTGTTTACCGTGTGCTTTTCAGATGCTTGTTGCAACATGGCTTTTGTAGGTTCCAAGTAGAATTGAATACTTAATCAATCAATCAATCCCATGCTTTTTAGATGACTTAGAGAATAGAATGACTACAATTGAGCAATTATCAACTAGGCTATTACATGACTATATAGAGAACCTAACAACTAAATAATAGCAAACGGGATAATATTAAATACAAGATCAAACTAACCACAACTCTAAATAACTAACTACACAATATCACTAACTCTAGATAATTATCATATTATCACATATGATAATTATCATATTGACACGCCCCTTCAAACTGATGGCGGAAAAGGTAGGAGTCTCAGTTTGCCCAAGAATCGGGTGGACCACGATGCAACAGCAACAAACAACAAGCGAACAGCAGCAGTAACAGCAGCATAAGAAGGGGACTGACGGCAGCGCTAGAAAGAGAGGCGACACGACTGGAGGGAGGCTGACGGCGGCGCACTGGCCGAAAGATGACTGATGGGGGCACAAGAATGTAGCTCGACCCAAATGATGAGTTGTAGGAGAAGAGGCAGTGATGTTTCTGTGGCCGGGAGTTGTGTTGTGATAATGTGTTTTATTATGGAATCAAACGACAAATGCAGAAATCATAGTACCTACTTGCACAAAAGATAATCTAGAGAAGCTGATTTGGAAATTTTACAAAGTAGATGGACTAAATGGGAAAAAACTAAAAATTGGCTAAACTGCCTAAAATTGGCAGCAACGAGTAGAACAGGTTGTTTCTTTTTTTCCTTTTTTTTTTCCTTCTTGCTGCAAGTGAAAGGCCTTTTTTTTTTGGTTTTGTGACCGGCAGCAATATGGCAAAAGAAAGGATGATGGGTTTTGTATTTCTTTTCCTTATTTATTTTTTGTTTGGAACGAAGGATGATGGAGGATGATTGATGACGATAGACAATTGTTTTGGGTATGATGGAAGCTAATGAATCGTGGATGATGAGGAGGAGTGTAGTGATGGGATGGTCTTTTGTGCGTGGGAGGCTGATTGGTGGCATGTGAGTAGAACTTTTTATTAAATGTTGAAGGGTCATGTGGCAAAGGATTATGAATCCCACATCGGAAGTATGAGGACATGTGAATCAGTTAATAAGTAAGGTGATCTCAGAACCCATTAGTTTGAGCTTTTGAGTTCAGATGGGTCTTATCTTACTTATTGGGCTCCATGTCGGGTTTTCTCCTCCGAATAAATCCCCAAAATTAATTGATGTGGAAGAGGACCGCGGCAAAAGAAGAAGACGTAGACGGCGGAAGATTCAGCCGCCAAAGAGGATATAGCGCGGCAGGAAGGAGAGGCACGCAGTAACAAAAGAAGGAAGAAGAAGCAGTGGGGTCCGAGAAGGATCGAACGGCAGCAACAAGAAAAAGCCGGCGGCAAGAAGAAAAAAGAGAGGCCGGTGGTGACCTAAAGAATAATAGTTGGATTTTGGGATGTGGGTGAAAAGAGAGGGGTTGATGGGGTGATGATGGTGGGTGACCGTGGAGATTTTCGGCCAAAAGAGGGAAGGAAGAGAAGCCAAGAGGCTGTGAAGAAGAAGTGAGTGACCAGCCAAAGAAGAAGAGGGTGACGGCCAAAAGAGAAGAAGAAAAAAATAAGTTTTGTAAAACCTGGCCGATACCAACTTAGAGAATAGAATGATTATAATTGAGCAATTATCAACTAGGCTATTACATGACTATATAGAGAACCTACAACTAGATAATAGCAAATGGGATAATATTAAATATAAGATAAAACTAACCACAACTCTAAATAACTAACTACACAATATCACTAATTCTAGATAATTATCACATGTGATAATTATCATATTGACAAATGCAACCTTTGATAAAATGCATTGTAAATCACAGGAAAAATCATTATTACTCTTGCCTTCCCATGTCTCCTCTGTTTGCCAATTACGTCAAATTCGTAGGAAAAACGAAATCAAAGGCATCCATCGGAAACCAATTCAGGAAAGAAATGAAAAGATATATACACACAGAAATGAGAAATTTCCATGTGCTTGAAGATTGGTGATGGAAACAAAAAGACGCTGATTGTTTTTGCAATCCTTTTCTTTCGCAATTCCTGTATAAGGAGATTCCCAAAGGAATACCATGGTCGAGAGTGGTAGAAGTAGCAAAGTTTGCAACTATGAAAATCAATAATAAGACCGCGCCAACGCTGCATGTGGACTTGCAAATTCAGCATGGCTTAAAGTTGTCGAGAACATGGTTGAGATATCTACAAGGGAAAGAAGCCTTTTGACTCATTGCTCTGAAGTAGTTCAGTTCAGCATGAAGTCAAGGCTCATTTGGGTGCTGTTGGCTATCCCTTTGTTGTACTCCTATAAGGCAAATTACCTGGTGCATCCGGGGGTACCGTGTACCCCCTGCAAATTCCGGTGCATCCTGCAATTTCAGGCGGCTCCAAAATGAATTCCAATTGAAGAATTCCGGCCGCCGATGATCCCAGCCGCCACCTCACACACACACTCTCCTCACACACACAATTTTCTTCTTTAATTAACAGTAATATTATGTGATGGTTGTCCATGCTATAATTGCTGGTTATACACCCATTTTAAACTGGTTATCCAGAAGGTGTAAACTAGTTATCCACAAGTTGTAAACTGGTTATCCAAAAGGTGTAAACTGGTTATCCACAAGTTATAAACTGGTTATCCAAACTTTGTTTGTGGTTATCCACCTATTTTATACTAGTTATCCACAGGGTGTAAACTAGTTATCTACACTTTTTTTAGATGTGCTTCTATGTAGCTACATGTCCATACAATTTGCTGGTTATCCATCCATTTTATCCACCCGTTTCCGGTGCCCCTGCAAATTCCGGCGGTGCACCCCCGACCGCGTTCAATTAAATCCCAAGTATTCCGGCCAATCGATCCCAACTGCCTCCTCACACACACACTCCTCACACACACACACACTCCTCACACACACACGAAAAAAGGACTCGCTTTATAAAAACCGGCGTGTTCGGCGGGGCAGCGAAGCCAGGGCGGGTTGGTGACCTGCGATTCTGACGGCCACGGGAGTCGATTCTGGTAGCGGCGGTGCTGAACGAGAAAGCCGAAGAAGAAGAGGCGGTGGATTCCGGTGGATTCTGATTCTGATTTGGGGTGTCTGATTTGTTGATGAAGAAGAAAAGCCGCCGAATTTTGTTGATTCCGATTTGGGGTGCACAGTATCCCCGGGTGCACTGGATACATACTCCTCCTATAATATTGTCTTATGTAGTGAACTTTGGTGAGATATTTTGAGCAAAAATTGAAAGTAAATCTTCACTTTCGTAATCTTGGATTCCAGTGTATAGGATACCCAAGGAATACTGATCAATATCATCCTTAATTTTGAACCTCTCAATTTCTGGTCAATCTCATCCCTAAATTTGGAATGAGATCAACAAGAGGTTCAAAGTTTCAGATGAAATCAACCATTTTTCTGGATAGCAATGCAATCCGTGAGTTCGTGGATGTAATCGAACATGTTTTCCGATAGCATCGTAATCCATTAGTTTCCGCAAAGAACATGCACGCCATTGCATAAACTATAAAATAATGTTAAACACGAAGCCTTAAATTGCTTCAAGTCAAACAAAAAATGTTTGGACTAAGCTGATCCACTGCACTCTGGTATCTTCTGTTAGATTAGAAAATACAGTTATTTCTTAACCTAGATATATTTACGCACGTAGTCCAAACATCGTACGCTGAAACTCAAGAATATGAACTTTACAGAAAATACAGGTGAACTTGGATCCAACAAGAAGCAGCCTTGTATCCAACGAACTGTTTTTTTAAAAATAAAAAAAAGAAAAATAAATAAATAAAAAACCCACATTCCTATATGGTGAATAATTTTCCATAACCACACTAGTGTACTTCTAATTCTAAACCTAAACAGAAGCTATTTTACCCATGCCCGCACCAACAAGATATCACCCAAAACAGCTCCAGTTGCTAAAAATAAGCAAGGAAGCTCCTTAAGCAGCTCCACATAACAACTGATTATTCCATTGGAGTTAGGAAAATGTAACATTTCTCATTATGTGGTTTTGCCAACATTGAAATGAAAGAAGCAGCTTTCCATTAAACACAAGCCACTCAGCAAAAAGATGGGCTTAATCCCAAACGCAATATCAATCCTTTGCTAGAAACGCCACATACAGACAATTTTTGATTGATGATATTCAGCCCTACTGATTGACAAGGTAAATAAATCTTGGTGCAATTTTGTCATTGAGCATATAGCTGCTTCTTCCTTATTTTCTTCGTACACCGGAATCAAACCTAGATACACGATCGCGCCAGGAAACTTTTTGCATTGTGAGAACCTAACAGGGCCACGAACACATGAACATGATTCTGTAAAGCCAATACCCAAAAAAAATTGTCACTCTATTCTTTACCTGCTCGCTTAGGAGACTAGTGACATTGGCACTTTCTAGGGCCTGTTTCTGAATGACAGTCCCTTCTTCATCATTGTCTGTTCCAGTTGGAGGAGAATTTGAAGGAGCTCCAAACATGGCTTCATCATGAGCAGCTTTTAGCTCTTCCTCTCTTTTTGACTAGTTAAAGTTTCTTTGTTAGATTAAACTTCCATTTCTTCATAAAGATGCATACATAGTGTTTTACATTTAAATCCCAGTCATCCAAGGGAACAATTGGATAAACAATACATGTGAAATAGATGTAAACAGTACCTCCAACGATGAAAATCTGAAGCTTTGACCAATTCGCTTGACTAAGGCTGCATCATCCTCAACAGCTGCACAGTGGAAAAGAATGTACATCAAGATGGACCGCGTGGAACTAGCCAATAGCACAGGATTAGCAAGAACTAAATAAGCTGAATGAGCAGGAAAGCATATAAAGAAAGACATCAATCACCAAAACTCAACAACAGAATACAATCAACGTACCGATAAATTACATATTTAGATAAAGTAACTCTAAGTTCAAACACAGTGCTAGAACTGCTAGTTTATCAATTCCATGGGAAAACATAGTTAGATAAATCTACAATTTTGAATAATGTTCAAAAGAAACAGTGAACTCAGAGGTGCAGAGCAGCACTTATCTCAAGGAACCACAGCTAAAAATTTGAGGAGAGAATAAACCAAAGTGGATTTTCATCCCTTTGGCGACACAAACATAGAGGCTCAGCCTAAAGTGATTTTAAGTTCAAATAAATTAATAAAGTACCTGTTCAGATTTCCGAAGACAACAAATCAGGCATATCTAACGTGAAGAGATAACATTCAAAGCAGAGAGTGAACTAAGCGGTGCAAACCATAACATTTAACGCTGCACACAGAGAAATGTAAGGGAAGAGCTACTTTTGCAGCCGAAAAATAACATGGATACCCGTCATCCTTGAAATGCCTGATAACTGAAAACAACAAACTATATACAACATTCTTCAACTAATTAAGCCAGAGAGGCAAACAAAACTGCCAGGAAAGCCACAAAGGTGTGTTCTTCAATCAATGTATATTGATCAAACAAAATTCCATCAGACATCAGCCATTTCAAAATTTGGATAAGTCCTAGAGACATCACTTATACAAATTTAGACATGTTCTGCTTCAGATTTGATGACAAAGGACTTCATTAATCAATATAATAGACCTACGAAATTATAAAAAAAGAAACAGGACAAAAGCGAGTCTAAAGCAGATTGACCACTCCAAATGATATCAGATGGTGGTAAAAATAATTATGGGACTACCAAGGCTCAACTAAAGAAAAATGTGACAAAATACAGAAATACGAGTTAAATGTCATCATCTACGACAAATTCAACTAAAAAATCACTTCCAAATCAGCTCTCAGATTACATCACTACGTCATACTTGAGAAAGTATAATCACTTAAAGCAATACTAGGAGCAACTTACCTTCAATTTCCTCATCATCCAAAGGAGCATCTTTATCAAAGTCGAATCTTTCCCATCCTGAGCCCATGCCCTTCTTTTCGTCCTTTTCAGCTGTAAATATTACATCATAACTTACTCTTGCACTGAAGAGAAGGAAAAGTGTCCACATAAAACTAGCTTTACTTGATTGTTGCATCCGAGATAGAATAATGCACGAAAACACATGCACCGCTATCAACAAGAAATCAAGTCATTGCCTAAAATGTTATGTCTCATAACTGGGTGCATCAAGGTTTATGCCAAAGGGCCCCAAAAAAGCTTGACTTGCATTCTGAATAAATCTCCTATGTGCTGCCATATGTAAGATGTTATGTCGGGGATCTATATTCTGAAATGGTGTTACAGTTACTTAAAGAAACGGGAAATAGCAAACAACTTTAGACAAAAAATAAAGAAGACAATAAAGCAGAACTGCTATTTCGCTAGGAAAATCGTAACACTTGTGAAGACCATCCTAGGTGGCAGAAAATTTATAGTCTTGAGAGGAAGAAAGAACAAATATACTGGTCCCTTGCGAATATTCTTGCTAATTTGGTCAGGACTGTAAATGGTCAGGACTTTTACACTACTGATTCCAGTGCGAAACCTGGGACATCCTTTATAAAATGCCATACTTAGAAAAACAAAAACAATTTCACCCAAAAAAAAAGGAAAAATAAAAACAAGGAAATGCTCTGCACCTGTCTAAGAAATGAATCTACTTGAGAGGCCAGAGAACTTGCGAATATTCTTGCTAATTTGGTCTGGACTGTAAATGGTCAGGACTTTTACACTACTGATTCCAGTGCGACGCCTGGGACATCCTTTATAAAATGCCATACTAAGAAAAACAAAAACAATTTCACCCAAAAAAATAAAGAAAAATAAAAACAACGAAATGCTCTGCACCTGTCTAAGAAATGAATCTACTTGAGAGGCCAGAGAATTTTCTTACAAGTACCATTGTGGCGGATGGGAAAAATGTCCTACAATGGTAATGACAAGACATTTTGCATGAAAGCTAGGGAAATCAACTTTGTGACCACCTTGGATACTGAATCTTTGAGCAAAGAATAAAAAAGACAGTCTTACATGTTCAATTAGTAGTCAATATTAACGTAGTTAGCAGTTATGCATCACCCTCTTTCTGCTCTTGTAATAGCTTTACAACACCAATCTTTAATTGAACTAGGTGAGACCATAAACTACTAAGACTAGTTCACAATAGGCAGCTTAAGTTACAAACAGTACCTGGTAATTACATCATCTTCATTTAGGTTCCCCCCCCCCCAACCTCTTCATTCAATTAGCCATTAGTAGGCCTCTAGAAACGCAACATAATATACTAGGGACATTCTGTCATACATATGTAGTATACATTTATCATGACCAAAAAAAAAAAAGTATACATTTATGACCAAATGAAAAAATATTAATCCTAATACTATGCATTGTCTTGATACATCTGCCTGCTACAGCAACAACAAATGTAATCTGTTTTTACCTTTCAAGTAATCCGAACTGAAAACGTTAAAAGCAGTTGTTTTCTCCTATCCATGAGGACAGAATTACACAATTCCAAGGTTCACAATTTATTATACTCATTTGGACAGTTCTCATCAAAGTGCAACACTTAACATACTTTATGTTAATACATATCATGTCAATTCCTACTTTAAGAATATCATGGTTCCACCAATTTCAGTACACTGGACTACCAACAAGTAAGAATAGAGGTGGACTTTTATCCTAAACTCGGAGTCATACCAGACTACTGCTTATATTTCCACCAAATCATACTAGAACAACTGCAAATGTCTTGACATTTAGTAAAATGTGAAAGGAAAATGCATTGACAGGTTATGTAAAGTTACCTGTTTCAGTAAGTTGCAATTTCATTTTTGCTTTGACTTTTTCGGCAGGTGTCTGTCAATGAAAAGCAGAATGCGAGTCAAGTGGAGAATAGTAAAAATGAAAATTACAGAACTGAACAGAACCAGCCACTGGGTATCATTTCTAGAGAAAAATAACATAAAGAATTTCCCAGAAAATTACAAGCAGAAGCACTTAATTGTGCTCATCTCTTCTAAATGTGAAACAACAAATCAGCCCCCCAAAAATAGATAAGACGCCACGTTAGATTAGAAGCTAACCTAACAGCTCTTACTGGATAATACATGTGTTTCGATGTGAAATGCCACATTTCAAAGGTAGGTTAGAGAACAGTAGAACACAAAGAATGCACCGTATGCAATACTGCCGCACAACTTCATACGGCTACCATATTCCATTCAGTCAGTTCTAAAGGTAGTAGCTGCATTCAATTTTCTCAAGCCTTTTCACAAGCAGGACTGAAACCTTTTCAGCAGCAGAAGGAATAGGCTTGCATAACCAGTCAACCATCTCAGTTCCCATTGACAAACAAGTTAACCAAAACAAAACCTGAATACCCGCCGTAAACTTCATAAAGGAGGACAAATTTTTTCTAGTTGCATTTAACAGAAACCTTTGCACAAGTTACACCCTAAGCATTAAGCCATTGGCGCTCCAGAGCGAAGAGAGTCCTTAAATGCTCTAACTCATATCCTCTTGCTTTGAGAATCTTGAAAGCTTAAGGCTATCAATTCAACAGAAAAACATCCCTTACAAAATGCAAACCTATGTAGAACTCTATATGACTAAATAGACTCCTCAACTTGATTGATCAAACAGTAGGACGATGGCAAATCATGGATGATCAAGCCAAATGAAAAGCCTCAAATGAGCTAAATTTCAAGGAAAAATCTTATCACCCGGGGAAAAGAAAATGCATATACATACCATTTTGTCATAGCCTTCAATTAATTCTGCATAATCAACTCTGCCAATTTTCTGCTTCTCCACTTTATCTCGTCTTCCCTTATTAACATCATCACCTCTTCTACGCCGGGGCGACTCACTCCTAGACCTCCTTCTATGTCGGGGCGACTTACTCCTAGACCTTCTCCTCCATTGATTATATTCATCTCGGCCGCGACTCCTACTCCGCCTGGAATGCCTCTCCTTACTACGGCTCCGTCGCCTGGAACGCCGGTATCTATCCCTGCTCCGGCTCCGACTACGACTCCTACTCTCTCGCTGGGAGTGACTACGCTTCTCCGGGCTATGGCTGCGGCGGCTTGTACGCCTATGGACATCAGGGCTCCGTCCGCGAGGACTACGTTGACTAATATTCGAATCTAAATTGTGGGTTTGGGGATTTGTTGGGTTTTTCTTGAGTTTGTTTTGAATGGAACTAAGTTGAGATTGTTTATCGAGCTCAGGTGTGGTAGACGGGTTTGAGGCTTTGACGAATTGGCTGAGGAAAGAGGATGATGAAGTGAAGGAGGATGATGGTGGTACGGCTTCGTTGGGAGTGGAAGAAAAACCAAGGCCTCGTTTGAATCGGGCGGCGCCTTCTCCTTTACGAGTTAACTCATCGTATAAGGCCGCAGCTTTTTCTTCCTCCATCTCGGCGGTGGTGCTCCGGTAACCTTAGAAAAAACGAGTCCGCGGACCTCTGTCTATTTTGTCAGTTGCTATACTTATTTTATACCTTTAGGATGTTAGAAAAACTCAGGGAAGATTACCAGGAAAAAAATAAAAATAAAAAAGAAAGAAAGAAAGAAAAACTTAAAACAGAATCGTCCCAAAAATTAAACTTAGGGTGTGTTCGGCTACATGTTTTTTGGATTCAATTAACATTAGAATATTTTGGGATTCAAGTGGCATTCAAGATATTTTAATTCAATACTAACTTATCCGTTCAGCAAAATCATGGAATTAGCCACACATTCAATTAGGATTCTAAATTCTCTGTTCGGATAGTCAAATAATTGAGTTGGTTTTAGCTTTTACTTATTTTTTACAAAAATAAAAAAAAAAGAAAAAAATTAATTTATTTTGAAATTATTTCAACTTTTAATTTTTGTTTTAAATAGTATCATTTCTAGAATAATATATTTTGTTATCATCTTTAAGGTGACAAAGAGGAATCTCTATATTTTTATTTTTTAAATTTATCAATTATTTATATATTCATTATAATGATCAATTAGGTAGTTCCAACACTGTTACATTAACATAAATATAAAAATTACAAAAATTAGTTACGTATGTAGTAATTAATTTAATTCAAGTGATTATTTTGAAACCAAAGAAACTAAACTGATTATAAAATGAAGGGGCGGTATTCACCCAATTTTATATATAATGTAACAACCACCTAAACATTTTATATATTCTTATCAAACATAGAATCTGGTGACAATATTACTCCAACTAATGTTACTACTACTAAAACTAAAATACCACACAACGTTAAAGTCTTATACAAACAATAAAACTTAAAACTAATAATTTTATTGAACATAAATTAACAAGACCATTTCATCTACGTCTGTTTTGATAATCAATAAACATAGCTTGAGCTAATGCATCCCTAAATCTAGTCCACTCATGTGTAGATTGCACAAGTGTAATGCGAGCAGAGTCTTCAACATTCGCACCACCTTGCATGTTTGGCGGATTCTGTTCTTCCCCATTCTGATCATCACCATCTGGATTAACTCGGTTAAGAATCTCATGATCAACTTCTTCCAGTAATGGATCATTAGGTTCTTCTACTCGAATAAGATTGTGAAGGATAACACAAGCATTGATAATCTTCACAGTTGTTTTGACATCATAAAAAGACGCTTCTCTCAAAATTTTTCATCGCTTTTTCAACACACCAAAAGCTCTCTCAATCACATTTCTAGCAGTTGCATGACGAAGGTTATATAACTCCCTAGGAGTTTGTGGATTATTACCTTGGGACAAGGATGGATCCATGAACTGAATTCAAATAACATAAAAACTAATTAAAACTGAAAAAAAATGCCTCAAAGGATAACATATTCTACTTACTTACACTAGATAAGGAAACAAATTATGGTATCGAAGTCGAATCTATGATGAAGACAAATTATGACAAGCAAAGACATAAACCATAAAACACAGACTTCACTACCTCAAAACACATGTGCCGCAGTCAAAGCTATGAGGGACACATATATATTGGACTTAAACTAAAAGGGCTGATAATTCACACACCATTACAAATAATGCATCATTTTCTTTATTACCTTGTTTCCGTGGTCCATTTTCCAATGCCCACACAAACAAAAAGATTATGATACCATCCGATTAAAGCATCTGATTAGGAAAGATGGTAGTAGTATGGTAGAATCCACAATCCATTTCTACATTTTTTATCATCATTCATCATATATTACTGACATAAGGCGTTTGTTTACTACTTTTTCCCATTCATTCATCCATCCATCTTCACCAGTTTGATTTCCGTGACTTTTGCCATACAAAACCCCATAATAAAATCACATTACATTACATCATCAAAATCACACCCTCTCCCCTGCCCCCCCCTGTTCCCCCCATCTCTTGAAAAATATAAACAGAACCAAGTAGTACTATTACTTCACTAGTGACATTAAATCAGTGAGGCCAACAACAGAAAGAGGAGAGAAAAAAAAATGCCGAGTTCTGCTGCATTTTTGAGGCAAATAAGTGGTAAAGAAGCATGGAAATCAGCTTCCATGAGGTGGGCTACTAAGATAATCACTGACCATAAAACACTATGGATTGTTAATCCTTAATTGTTAATCCTTTAAATCCTAAACTCTGAATTTTCAGAATTAAAGTGACCGAGTGGCCATATTCAAGAGACATTTTTGCACAATTCCTTAATTTTTTTAGCAAACCATCAAAGGTGCAGCAAAGTAAAATAAACATAGCGGGATTTCATCAAAAGACTTGAGAGAAGAAGGTTTAAAAATCAGAAGAACCGAGTCTTCAAAACAGAATATCAAACCAGATTTTCTAACAGAACATTTCAGAACTGACAATTAAAGTTCAAACTTGATTTTTGGACAAATTAAAAGTCCATTTAATAAACCGTAAAAACCACAACAAAGTACACTGAATGAAGAACAGTTTCACCAAAAGAAAATCCGAAAAAAAGTTTAAGACCTAGGAGAAACAGGACTGATAACAGAAGAGGTCTCGTCTGATTTTTCTGCAGTTGCAGCAATGATCATGTCAAGTTCAAAACAGTTTTCCGGACAAACCGTAAGTCCATTTAATATTCTGTAAAAACGACATTAAAGTTCACTACACATAGAAGAATTTTCCAAAAAGAAAATCTGAAACAGAGTTTAAAACCTGAGAGAAATTGGCCTGAAAACAGAAGGTATCTGTTCTGCAATTTCTGCATTTTTCAGGAGTGATCATGTCATGTTCAAATTAAATTTCTGAACAAACTAGAAGTCCGTTGGATAATCCATAAAAACCACATTAAACTAGATTGAACGTAGAAGAGATTCATATAAATAAATCCGAGGAAAGGATTCAAGAACTAATAGAAACAAGCCACTCATCAGGTGGACTCAATTCTGGTTTCTGCACTTTTATAATAAAACCAGCAAACATATGTTGTTTGAACCAATACTTTAAAGGGTTAGTGGAACAGACCTAGCAGTAGGGATAAAGTTGCCAAAAGCAAAAACAAGTCCAAAGATCACAGCAGCAACAGCAACACCAATCTATCAAGGCAAAATTCCAAACAAAAAAAAAATGTGCCAGTGTACAAGTGAGAATCAATCTCCACGTTGTCATCATATCAGACACTTTACACGCAGACAGAGTATTACCTTAGTACCAAGTAAAATACATAAGAAGAAGCTATCAATATAGATTGTCGAAAGACACGAAATAAGAGCAACATCAATGTGCGGATTTTAAAAAAAGAGAAAGTATTCCCCTACTAAATTTATTAGGCATAAGAAGTCAGACTTTCAAAACTGTCCATGCACCAGATTTTTCTGAAATACAGTCTAAAACAAACGAATGATAATATTCAAATCCAATTTCTAAGAAAACCATGAATCCTTTTCAAAAACTGTAAAAACCATGGTAAACTATTTCATAGTTAGAAGGGATTCATAAAAAGAAATCCCACAAAATGTTTCCAAGACTAGGAGAACTAAGCTCTGTAAAATAGTCACTCATGATGGACATTTTCTGAAATTTCTAAAATTAAGTCATCTATAAACAATCTTCCTTTTGAACTGCCTGGCTAATAACAATGGATTCATATTCCTCACAATATCATTATTATCACGTGGATGTCAGGATAAGTACGGAAAAAAAACCAAAAAAAAAAAGAAAGAAAGAAGCAAAAAAATCTGTTTAAACCACCGAAAGATCTATAAGAAAAATTTGTACAATATAATTGAAACATTTCAATGTGACCTTCGAGTTAGTTTCATGACACATTTCTACAATGGAATTAGTGAAAGTGAGTGGCGTTCCAACCATATGTCCGTACCATTTGATCCATGTAAAATTCCAAAAAACCTTCTCCGCAAAGAATCATCCCTCTAGATGCAGTAATGTTTAATGAACTCAGACATTCACTAACCACAAGGTATCCAGTTATTCTTTTCCTCTTAAAATATAAAGAATCTATAGAAACAATAGACAATACTTTTAGCCCGACCAGATCAAAAGTACTAAAAATATTAAGCATCAAAAGACATTTTTCCAATATAAAACACCAGTAAGTTTTTCCAATATAAACCATCGAAAGACATTTTCAAATGGTACATCAAATATTGTGTTAATTAAATTGATCTCCAAAATGGTACCTGAACCCTAGCGCCAGTGTTTGAATATTGTTGTAGATATAAATAAGATACAGAAAATTAATTATCAAATCAACATGGACTCCAAGGTGCAAAGGCGGCAACAATCAAACCTATGCTCCAAGCAGAGAACAACAGGAGAAAAAGTTATTTATCACAAATGAACTTTAAATTCTACCAAATTGAAACATAAACACAAAGCATAAGGGACACCAATTTCACAGGGGAAGGAATGATCTTGAATTGAACATGGTTGCACCAAAACAGATCTGATCACCAGGAACCATTGTGCTCAATTTCTAAGGGGAAAACAAAAGAACGATTGAAACAAAAATGAGATGATTAAAGCAATCAACAGGTGAATATATACTTTTATCCACTGGAATTGGGGTGACCACTGCTTGAACCAGAACGATCATAAAATCCACATGCTTTGGCTCGCTACCAATCCTCCTCATCCTTTGATACCCGCCTCCAGACTTAGGTCTCGTTCTCCCCGTAAACATTAACCAAACTGCCCTCTTCCTCTTAGAAACAACCTTGAACTTTAAAACTATGAAAAGACTGCCAGCATGCAAGGTTGTTTTGGTAAGATTAAAAAGAAAAAATTGCATAACAAACCAACACACTTTCATTGCATCCATAAATCCTGAAACAAATTGAGAAATAATAAAATGAATAATGATTTTGCAAAATGCAAAATTGACGAAGGAATTAAAAAAGAAGAAACCAAAGTGTCTCAAATTTGTCGTTTGTAAGGAAATGTAGAGAGGATATGTGTCCATCGTTTTCCAAAATTTTTGGCTAATCCAAAAGTGAGACAGATTAGAGGAAAAACTCGATACTTCATGGAGGAGGTCCCGGTACCATTCTCTCCATTGCTTCGCAGCATCAACGTTATCATTAGGGTTTAACAACATCAACACGATACTCACCATTAAAATCTCTACCGTCTGCACCAGCAACCACCTTAGAAAATGGTCAAATTCATCAATAGATTTCTGCCATGATCACCACAAAATGAAAAACAAAAAATTAAAATACATGAAAAGCTCCAATAAATCAACGGGTGAAATTAGAAAATTAAATAAATAATTCAACCACTCATTCTAGGGATCAATGCAAAGGCGAACGACAATAGGCGACAAACATAGTGAAGATTATTTGGCAGAAATCCGTGCGAGATAAAAGGAAGCATTTGAGCGGCTTCTTTGTTTTGTTTGGCCGAAAATGAGATGGATTTATAGTGTTCATAATTCATTCAATTAGGGTTTTAGGATAGAGGAGCGGCACATGATTGATGGATTAGGATTAACTTTTAGTCAAGCAATTAAAGGTGATAATAACTTTTATTGATTTTTTTTTTCCTTTTTTGTGGTGATTTAGTGAGAAAGTGGGGAAGATTTTGGACATGAAATAACTATCCGATGAAGATAATATTTACATGATTTCTATTCAAAATTTATTTGTAGTAATCTTTTGGGCCAAAAAATTTTAAATTTATCAAAACCAATGTGTATTTTAATCACATGGATTAAAATCATTGTGAATCATTATCCTTTTGTAGTTTTACTAATTTATAAAAGTTACCATTGCAAATAAAAAAAAAAACATTATTAGGGTTGCCCTTTCTTCTTTTCAAGCCGCCGACTGCTAGAATGTGAAACATCAAAAAAACAGGCTTCAATGAAAAGTCGCGGGCCTTTCTTCCATCTTTTGTACCTTTGGCTTGAGGGCCGGCGTTCACAAGGATGAAGATTTAAATGCATTGGGATTGGGATACCAACCGGAATCACCCCATCAAAGAGAACTCTATCTTTTCAGTTCGCTCGGACACAATCAGCGGCGGAGTAATCAGATTCGAAGACAAAGCGCCGCTCCTCGAAGAACTCGGCATCAACACGAAGCAAATTTATCAAAAGTCTCCATCCTTAACCCTTGTTATCCGGAGATTAGCCAGAGATTATCTGGAGATTATCCATCAATGCCGTCAAAGTCTTCAATGCCATGCCCGAATAAATTCAGTCGCCGTGTCCGGATATTAGCCGGAGATTACCTTTAGATTACCATTTTACTTTTATAAATTACATATATATAAGGTGCAGTAAAAAAATCCACGAATTAAAAGATGACATGTGTACTACAAAAATTTCTCCACGAATTAAAAGATGACATGTGTACACAAAAATTATTAATGGTCTATTAACTTACACGTGTCTTGTGAAAAAAATTCCTTTAATATATAGTAAAATTATAAAATGCCTTATATAAACACTAGAGGGTACCTAATATTTGAGAGCAAGAATATTTTTAAACAATAGAAATTGAATTTTGGAAAGGAAACCCTTCTAAACGGATAATCTCTGTGCTTCTTTCCTTTACCCCTCTATTTTTGGCGCGCTCACTCTAAATCATTTGGTGTTCCTTTTCCAGTTCCATCCCTCCAGCCACTTCTGTTCCGCCGTCGATTTTCTGTCAGCCGCTTCCAGTAGAACAAGGTTCTCCCGGATTCAATTGGTCAGCCAAGCGGAGGAGCTGTCCTTTTCTTTTTCCAGGTAATGTAAATTCGTTTTATTTGGTTTTGGGAAATCAAGGCACGGCGACTTGGCCCTTTTCTGTTTTTGAGCTGGTTTAAAGCATCCGGTTTGAATTGGGTTTTAGCTTGGGTTTCAAATCATGAGTTGGGATAAGATTGTGTAATGTGGTTCTGGGTTTAGATTTTTCTCTTGGGGCAGTAAATGAAGACAGTTTTATTCCAAAAGATTGTATTTTCAGTAGAGAACTGCTGTTGTTTTTGTCATTTGGAATTAGAGCCGGCAGCTCGAATAAGCTTTGATCTCTTTCGGTTTATTTCTATGCTCAAAGTGGTTTTGACTGAATGTCGTTGTTTGGGATGGAATTTAGGTTTGTACATTGTGGAATTGGGAATTTGTGTGGTCTTGGGAATGCTTTTCTTTCAAGAATGGTACGCCTAATTTTTTTTTAATTTTTATTTATTTATTTATTTATTTTTTGGGTAGAAGATCAAATGGCGTATTTGCAGACTTTTATTGGGAGGTAAAGTAGAATTGATTTGAGTAGGAAGATCGTGTTGTTGGTTGGATTAAGTGTATCGAGCTTTATAATTGTAAATTTTAGGGGAGAAGATAAAAGAGGGCTTATTCAGAGAGTCAGTTTGAGAGTGTTGATAAGATTACTCTAATAATGTTGTCTTTAAGGCAAAGAAAGAAAGGAAGAGTTACTCCCTGGTGAATTTCTGCTCTTCACTATTTCCTGATGCTTTGGACTTATGAATTTACCGAATTCTCTAATTCACTTGAATCTTTTTTTCCTCTTATAAGTTATAAGATGTTGTTTTCTAAGTGCCATTTCTTTATTTTTTTTTATTTTTTTTGCTTATTTAGTACCGTGATAATTTTTGGGTGTGGAACCAACACAATTGATTATTAGCTTCAACATGAGTTATGTACAGTCCGTCCTTTGTTCCCACTATCGGTCATCTCTAGGATTTTTCTCCCAACGTGGAGCGCTGTTGCTGCTGTGCAGTTTACTCTTTCTATTTCACATCTTTCTCATGTATGGGAAGTTTGTGTTTTTCAATTTCTCATCTGGTTTATGGTGCTTACAATTTTTCTCCGGAAAGTTCCTTTGAGCCTAGGAGAAGGAGAGAGCCAAATTGAAATAGGATTTAACAATCGCAATAAACCTGATTTATGTTCAAGAGCAGTAACATGCCTAACCCAGTATTATTAGTCCCACTCTTAACTAATTAGGAAAAAAGAAAAATTAAAACTGGCCACTAATGGAAAAACTAATTAACAATAACAAAGGAAATAGTATCTACCAAAATGACGAAATCAAACCAAACTCAAGGTGCTTTTCCATTTCGTAGTAATAAAGTATAGGTATGCATTTACTATTTTCTTGCTGTATCATTCGCAAGGTGTTACAGAGCATGTATTTGTTTGCTCTTGTATTCCTAGTTTTTGAGTCGTTTAATTTTTGGATAAACTTTTATTTTCAGATCCTGCAAGAAGGCTTGATCGTCACTACTCTTTCTTAGGATTTGATTTCACATTTGGTTCCTACAAGCTTGTTCTTTGCATACCCGCAAAACCTTCTACTATAGAAATGCTTCTCTACTCTTCAATGTCTGCAGTTCCTTTGAAGCAATTTCAGATTTCCAACTCGAAAGTGCAAACTGGATTTGTTTTGCAGCGTAAAATTTCTTCAAATGATCAGTCCTTTGCTAGGATAATGAACTTCAGAATCTCTTTACTGAATATGCCACTACAGACCTCTTTACGGTTGAGGGCTGGGGACAAATATAGTAATTTATTTGGTGACAGCATGGACAATTTTGAGTGGAGTGATGAAGAGATAGTTGAAATGGAAGAGGGAGAATTGGGTTCACCATGGGAAGCAGCCATCATTTATAGGAGAAATGCTGCAGTCTCACATTTAGAATACTGTACAACATTGGAGAGGCTGGGTTTAGGGTACATTTCCACCAACGTTTCGAAATCACGTTCTTCAGAGCTGGGATTAAGGGTCACCAATTCCGTGAAAGATTTTCCAGATGGAACTCCGGTCCTGGTATCGATTGATGTTATGAGGAAGAAAAAGAAAGAGCTGAGACTGGACGGTCTAGTTCGATCTGTCATTTCTCTACGCTGCAATAGGTATTCTTTTTCCAATTTATTTGTTCCAACTTGTTAACTTCAAATGATTCTGATTAGAGCAAAGTGCTTTTTAATTAGATGATTAGTGATAAATGAACCTCTTCTTTAATTTATCTATGAATAGGTGCAGTGTTTATTAATAATCCCATACCTCATGTTACAGTGACTTATTTGGTTTTGTTTGGAAAACATTCCAATTTTCCCATTTAGTTAGTGGTCTAGGATGGCTATTGGCTAAACCTTATAAACATTTCCTTCATGTATGTGTTTGGGACACTAAGCTTGAAGATTTAGATTTAAGAAAAATTTACTCGGAATTAGGTTTCAGAATTTTAGATAAAGGCTTCTTGTTGTTCTTCTTCTTGTTGTTTGTAGGTTTCGGAATGTCCATTACCTTTGTTCATAATTAATGCTGTCTTGAGGCTCAATGAGAACATAGGCCAACCATTCTATTTGTTTTCGGTAAAGTTGGTTTACTGAAAAATTGGATCAAGATAAGTGAACCCTTGATTGGCAATTTTGGTATTCCTTAGTATAATCCCTGCATTGAAGCTAAGGAAACAATAATGCCAGTGGTTACTGTCTTAACATGCATAATTCACTCATCATTTGAAAGAGTTTAAAGCATATGGCTGATCCTACATGAATCTCTTGGCTCCAAGAAGATTTAATCTGACTATTTCCATTGGCACTTTGATTTCTTCACTTTTGCTTCTGTAGAAAAAGTAGATTTTTGATAGCTTGCATGTGGAAGAAAATGATAAAATATTTTGCTAGTATGTAACAAAGAAGTACGTTGTGCATTACATCTCTTTGCATTGCTGTCCAAACCTGATTTGATTTGTTGGTAGTCCATGTCATCGTGAATCATATACAAAAAGGAGCTTCCAGTAATCTGACTGATGAGGATCATGTGCCTGACTCCACATAGTCCTTCAGCAATTGTAATTTTGCTCATATTCATTCAGTTGTGTTGCACCTTCGAAGCTTCTTTAGGAGTTTGCTCTCTTGATATGAAATACCAATACATCTTCTTTTGCACGTTCCTTGAAATGTTTCTGTTCGTTTGCAGCTTGCTAACTCCCATACTGGATGGATAGCAAGCTGAAAAGCTATGACCACAGTACATCCTCCTTGCAAGTTTATGAGTAATGATAAAGTGAAAAATCATAGTGACTTTGGTATAGTGGCTGATTTATAAATCACTCATTAGTTAATTTTTAAGAGGTAGTTATTATCGTTACATCAACTACCAATGACACATTTACACATCAGTCACTACACCAAAGTCACTATGATTTTTCACTACACTTATCATTTTCCCAAGTTTATATCATGTTATAGTAACTTCATTTGTTCAGTCCTGTGGGAGGAACAAGACCTAAGATATTCTTTAGCTTGAATCGATGCAGAAATGCCTATTGGCTCTTATGTTACCTGTCTAGAATCCTTGCCAATCCTTGCAATATATAGCTCTGTTTGGTCCCTGGAAAATGCCTTTCAAGGTAATCATAATGAGGATACCCCTAATTTGTTCACGAGAATCATTTGTAATGTAGATTTGATTGCTTCAGGATATACAAGCTTCATTGACTACTGGGATTTTTTTTTTTTACAGTACAAGCCATTTTGTGACTTTAGCTAACACATTTTCTCTTGAGCGCTTAATTCAAGTTTACTCATTTTTTGTGAATGATCAATGCAGTTGTTTATATCTTAACTGGCATGCCTTTTTCTTCTTGATATTTTGAATACATTGGAGGACTGTATGCCTGTTTGTGTGGCCTTGGAGGACTGTATTCATCGTCAACAATTTCTGAGTCCCTGGATAACCATGACTTCATCACCGCTTTGTTTCCCCTGTTAATTGTATGTTTACTTTGTTGCTGTAGGTGTGGTGAGCCAGCTGCTAAGAATATCTTTTCAAACTTTTCATTGTTATTGACTGAAGAACCGATTGAAGAACCAGAAACAATTGATATGGGCACAATTTTTGAAGAAGACAAGTTTAGAAGTTTTGTGAGCAATGGGGAAGATGAAGACGACGACTCGGAATATGTTGATGATCAGCTCTATTTTCCTCCAGGAGATAAAGAAATTGACATTTCGAAGCCCATAAGAGATCTATTGCATGTAGAAATTACTATTGACACGATTTGTGACCCAAAATGCAAAGGCATATGCCTAAGATGTGGCATAAACCTTAACACAAAAAGCTGTAAATGTAAGAAGCAAGATGGTGGTGAAAACCCTTTCGGTCCTCTCGGAAATCTGAGGAAACAAGCATATCAAAACTAAGGGCTTTTAAATGATGAGGTTGAACTACATGGTATTGGTCTTAGTTATTCAACTTATAATCAGTATTACTCTCTTTTTAAACATTGGGATGATGTTGCCTTTGCAAAATAGCTGATATTATTATTATTATTATTATTATTATTATTAAATTATTATTTTAAATGAACATTAAGGATAGGATGACTTTCAGGTTCCAACTGACCCAAAAAAAACTCAATGGGTATACCCAGGAGGTAAATTTTTGAATCAGCCGTTGCTATATAGCACAATCCACCTAAGAGGTATACCCAAGGGATGGACATATATACTATCTAGTTCTCTAGTTTCACCCTTACCTTATTTATTATTATTAAAATAATAACAACAAATGGCAGAGTATAGATTATACCATATTACATCATGTAGCGTTACTACGAATACAAGGGAAGGAAGATTGGTCTAAGACCAATAATCCCTTTACATATCTAGGCAAAGAAGCTAAAACTGGAAACATTTCTGAGCTACTTGAAAATGCAATTTTAGCTAACTTATCAGCTACAAAATTCGTTTTTCTATAAATATGAGTAACTCTATAGCCACTTCTAAGAATTATAGAAAGCATTTCCTGAAACACAAGATAATATCTCCAAGGAAAATCTGAGGGATTCCTCAAAGCATAAGCCAAACCCTGATTATCCATCTATAAACCAACATTGAGAAGTCTCATCATGTCACATCTTCTCAAACCAAAAAGAGCCCCCGCCACCTCCGCCATGTAGCTATTACCACCACCTAGATATCCGCTTTCTCCATAAATAAAAAAACCTCCTTCTCCTCGGATGGCAAAACCATACCCCGCATCACCTAGTATAGATGAATCATTCGAATTTAGCACATAAGAATTTGAACAAGGAGGAGACCACTTAACCTTCTTACAAGTAGGCTACGACTTCTTACTTAAACACGCACCAAAGAATTTTTCAAAGAAATCCTTTTCCGCCAAGTTAGCCACCTTCAAATTATGCACCTTCATTAGCATACCAACATGATCCTTGATTGCCAAAACAACTCCGACACTTCCATGACACAATCGTCAAATATCGCTTTGTTACATGCCTTCCACGTTTCCCAAACAATAACCATTGGCATAAGGATATTGAAAACTCCATTAGCCGACTTTTGATCCCCTCTCCGCCACCATCTCCAGAACATAGAAGCCAAAGAAACACACTCTACCGTTTTGATACTCATCATTCCAGCAAAGACATTCCACACTTCCATAACCTTATGACACCAAAGGAATATATGCTCAATATTTTCATAATGCATCTTGCAAAAAGATCACATAGAAGGCAATATTTGCAGCCCCATGCGGCTTAAGATTTTTGGAAATGGCAAGAGCTTATTATGCAACCTCCATATGAAGAAGGAAACTCTTAACAGAACCTGCTTTGTCCAAACCAGCCGCAGCCCTTCCTCCTCCATGCGTCTGTTTCGCATAACCTCATAAGAAGATTTGACCGAGAAATCTCCTTTAGGGGATGGCTGCCAATCCAACACATCATCACCTTCATAAAAATTCTGCTCAAAATTTTTAAGAAAAATTCTAACATCGTTAGCAAGAACATTACGAAATTCTAACAAGAAGTGTTGCTTATTTTCAAAAAACTCCCGTATAGTAAGCTCTAGAATAGGTGGTTGTTGATGATCAACATCCCATATCACTCCAAACTCCGCCCAATTGTAAAACCAAAACAAGCTCTCCCCTCTGTGAACAATAATCTTAGAATGACCAGTAGCCCTTTTCTAAATTTTTGAGATGCGCAACCAAGAAGATTTTTTCCTTACAGTGTTAGACAAGGATGTTATAAACTTGCTCCACAGCCCCCTTTTTGTTTTGAGTTTCCACCACTGTTTAGTCATCAAAGCATCAATCATTCCTTGGAAATCTCTAATTCCAAAACCTTTTTCAGAAGTCGGATAGCTAAGCCTCTCCCAAGATCTCCAATGACTCCTATTCTCATCATGAGCTCCATTCCACAAAAATCTTTGACACTTCTTCTATTTCTCGTAGTACAGCTCTAGGAGGAGGATAGCTGAAAAACATGTATTGGTATTGAGGACAACACATGTTTAATCAGCACTAAACGACCTCCTGGACTTAACAACCGGTTCTTCCAACTTAGAAGTTTTGCATCCATAGTATCCAACAGAAATTGGAATGTCGCAGCTTTGCGCCTTCCATGAAATAAACGACCCCCTAAATATACAAAAGGTAAGGAACCTTTCTGAATACCCAAAGTGTGATTAATGATTCCAATCCTTCTAACATGGCAATTCTCGGCCACCATAAATGAGCTCTTTTGGCGATTGACTTTTTGCCCCGAAGCTTGCTCATACATAGATAGAAAATCATTGACCTCAACAAGAAAACTTTTCAGCCCCCTAGTAAAGATGATCAAATCATCAGCAAAAGCCAAATGAGATACCATAAGAGATCTACAAGGTGTACCATAAGCTGCAATTGCACCACTTCCCACTGAGCTTTTCAACTTTCTTGTCATAGTTTCAGAAACCATAATGAATAGGTATGGCGACAGCGGGTCTCCTTGTTTTATACCCCTAGAAGCTTGGAAAAAATTGACAGGACTCCCATTAATTAAAACCAAGAACCAACTGCCACGAAGATTATTCATAATCATCAATACAAAACCATGCGGAAACCCAAACTTGAGCAATACTTTCTCCAGAAAATCCCATTTAACACGGTCAAACACTTTCATCATGTCTACAAAATCATATTACTACCAACAACTTTACGATCAAGAAATTGATATAAGTCTTGAGCAAGCATTACATTATCCATGATGTCTCTTCCTTCTAAAAAAGCTGACTGTTCCTCAGAAATCAGTTTAGGCAAAACAACCTTCAATCTTTTCGTTAGTACTTTAGTAAAACCTTACTCAGGAAATTGCATAGGCTGATTGGCCTATAATCAGAAAAAGTACTAACCGATATCTTCTTTGGAATGAGTGTAATCAAAGTGCTTGCCACCGATCTAGGCAATGGAACTCCGGCAAAAAATTCTTAACAAGCATTTCACAAATCATGTGCAATGATGTCCCAACAACTTCTATAGAAGCACCCTCCAAACCCATCAACTCCCGGAGCCGCATCATCATCTAAATTGAAAACCGCAGCCTTAACCTCCTCTAAGGATACAGGAGCCATCAGCAAGTTACAATTTCAACCTCTAAGAAAGGCGGAATGTGTTCAAGCAAGGTGAGCTGCACAGCCTCCTCATTTAAATCTGAATTATCCCCATGTAGCAGCTCATTAAAGAAGCGGATGGACTCTTGCTCGATTTCAGCCATATTTGTTAATGATGCACCTTCACAAGACTGAATTTTAAAAATGCTTTGCCTCAATCTTCGTTCTTTCAAAGAAGCACGAAAATAAGACGTATTAGCATCGGCTTCTTTAACCCATTTGATCCGTATTTTTTGTGCCCAATAATCATCACGCTCTTTTACTTTTTGAAGCAAGGTAGCTTTGGCTGCATTTAATTGGATTCTATCTTCCTCAAGCCCAGACAAATCATAGAAATTCTCGAAATGCTGGACATTTTTTTCAACCACTTTCAAATTCTCAAACACATCCCCAAATGCTTTCTTATTCCACTCTTTTAATTTAGCCTTCAAACGACAAGCTTTAAAGAGAAGCCATGCATACCATAACAACCCAAAGGATGATCCCAACAATCCTTTATTATGGCTTTAAAATCATTCCTGCGCAGCCACATTTTTTGAAAGTGAAAGACCCTTGGTTTGCTGTCCATTTGCAGACCAAAGAGATGTAAGATTGGACAATGATCAGATGTTGTGCGACTTAAATTCTCAACTGAGGATACCAGGAAAAGCTCAGTCCACTCCTTGGAAAGAAGAACACGATCCAACTTCTTACTTACCCAGCCAGTGCTTCTAGTACCCCCTAGTAAAGTCTTCTCCAATGGCCAAAAATTCCATTAAACCACAATTTTCAATGCACTCATTAATTCTGTCATTGCAACATTATCTTGGACTGACACCCCAGAATACTCATCCAATGATCTGATTATATTAAAATCGCCCCCTATTATCCAAGGCGAATGCAAATATTGCTGTCTAAAATGAATCATATTTTGCCACAGCTCTTGCCTTTCCAATCTAGTAGACTTTGCATATACCGTAGAGAAATAAAATGTATGAGGAACCGATATGTGAGATGCTTCAAAATGGAGCACTTGATTATTACGTTCCAGTAAGGTAGCCAAAATTTCTCTTGAACAGAAAATCCACACCTTGCTATTTTCAAAGGAAAAGGCCGAATGAAACCCTTACAAGAGCCGTATTTCATCAAGATTATGAACAACTATCATTGGTTCCATAATCATGAGGATAGAGATTTTGTTCATCCTTATTAAGGCTTGCAAATGACGCAACGAGGCCTGGTTTCTAATGCCTCTAATATTCCATATAAGTTGTCCTATAATTGGAATCTATGGAAAGAAAGAGACACACCAATTTATTGCAACCTAGGGGACCTCCTTGGAGCTACCCCTTCCTGCAACTTAGCTAATTCAGCTTTCGATTTACGTCCACGTTTCTTGGCAGCCGAAACCACCCCTTGCACTATTTCATGCTCATGAGTATCATCTTCTTCCACATCACCGTCGGACCAACTAGCCTAATCAACATGGACCTCTTCCCGATCGTTGGACACCCTCCCAACATCACCATCATTCGCGAATTCACCAACCAAGAGCGCCTTGTCAGCATATAAAGAAGAAGCATCATTCGGGACATTTTCTGAACTAGGGTTTTCAAGAAAAGAATCAGTTGCTGAAACAGTCCGTCGCGGCAGCTCTTCCTGAAATACTACCTCAACGTTATCATCATCCATGTCATCCTGGGATATCTCCTCTGACTCTACTGCAAACAAAGCAAAACGGTTGGCTCCAATCGTTGTAGCATTCGCTAGAGTCACTGTCACAATTCCTTCAGTCGATGTGAGTGCTAGGGTTTCACTCGCAGGGGGTGCGACATGATCGATGCAGGGGGTGCGATTAATGCTGTCGCAAGGGGCGCGACCATCAGTTCCACTTCAGTGGCCTGCTCAATCAGTGCTACTTCTTGTGTGTTTTGCTGGGGGATTTTTATCATTGTTTCAATGGGCTATAAATCTTGGACGTCCACCAGAATAGAAGCTTTCTCCATGTCCAATAAACTAGAGGGGAAGCATCGGATTTTCAAACCGTCAAATCTTTCAACTATGAATTAGGGTTTTCAGATTTCTTGAAAATACGTCTTGGCTGTTGGTTCAATTTTTCTGTAGTTTTTTGCTTGACTGCTTCGAATGGCTTCTTGGCCAGACCTTTCTTGCAATCCTTGGATTTATGGCCGATTTTACAGCACTTAGAATAATATGCTATGTTCATATGTAACGCATTGTTCACGTTTTTTTCCCTCTTTTCCCAACACACACCGACTTGGGAAGCTCCTTAGTCAAATCTACTTCAATACAAAAACGAGCAACCGAAGGCCTCATTAGATTTAGGGTAGGCGCATCAACCTTGAGTGGCTTACCAATCGCTGTCACCGTAGAGAAAATCACATCCGTGTTCAAAAACTCTATAGGCAGGTCTAGTAGAAAAACCCAAATTGGGACAATGGGTTGATCTTCTTCGAATTTAAAGGCGGGTTTCCATTTCAAGATTCTCATAGAGAAGCCAACTATATTTCAGAAAGTGCGCATCCAACAATGCTAATAATCATCCTCTCTTTCAAATCAAATCAAAACGTGCCTAGGGTTCATCAACCCTAGGGTATAGGAACCATGAAAGCCAATTTTTTTCTTATTCTCTGTGGATTTCCTCGATCTTGGGATGCCCATAAGAGAATTTGCCAACCAAACTCAACTGATGAGGCGCTATTAATCATTCATACTCTTCATCTTCATATTCAATTACCACCTTACCATTTACAAAAAAAAAACGAGCTTGATAAGGAAACCTTTTTGGGAATTATCAACAGTTGGCTTATGAAATAAACTTGCAAAAGTGGGTGGAAGCCCAGTGGGGGCTGCACCCGAATGATTCCCGGCCATGGTGGCCGGAAATAGCTAGGGTTTCGGCAAAAGTAGCGGCAATGCAAGAGAGAGAAGAGAGATGTTAAAAATTTTACTATATTAAATAATAGCTGATATTATTAATTGTTGAACAATTTCTGATTTTCTGAAAGTACATATATGCAAGATGAACTTTTTATTATTACTATTTTTTTTTCTTTTGGTTGTGACCACTTGTTCTTTTGAGGTTGGGATAATCGAGATAATCCGTTGTTTGTTTAACCAAGGTGTTTGCTCAGTGTTCTAGTTTCCAACTCGTCTAAGTAGGTAACTTGCTTATTTAACCAACATGCTTGTATCATCCACGCCCTCCGGTCATTAGTGCAAGACATTATGATTTGTGCTAAATTTCATTTAGTATATTATTTTAAATTAAAAATTTTTTTTTAAAACTACTTTATACTAATCCCAAGAATTCAATAAATATAAAAATATATTTTTAAAGTTTTTTTTTGTTTTAATTTCAAGAACGTACTAAACGAAATTTAATGAATTAAAATATCTTATAATAAGGACCGAAGAAAGTATTTATTTTCTCCTCAACTACTTTCCGCGTATGAACATGTACCCCTCAATCTGATGATCGAGCGACGTCTATCTATCATTGTATTACTCGATTTCTTTTATGCAAATCTTGTGGAAGAAGTTTGATGCATTGGGACATGGTCCTTTATGTTTAACTCTCTTCAAAGGCATAGACCCTTGATCAATTTGGATCTTCACTGATTATATAACTTGGAGAAGAGCAAAATAATGTGTTTCAAAAGGGAGAGGGTACTTCTAATATTGCACATGTAATAACTATAAACATTACACCACTGCTTATAAACCGAACACCTGCATTGAACATTAAATGGATCATTGATTAAGGGGAATCGAAATTTGTTTTCACGAGACTAGATTGTTAAAATACCGCATATTTTTCGTAAGTTTAATTTTATGGTGAAATTTTATAATTTGTAAGTTTAATTTTACGGTGAAATTTTATAATTTTTTTTTAATTTGTTACTATGCACTTACTCGAAGACTTGCAGTGATTAGACGAGCCACTATCTAAAGTTATATTGAGATTGAAGCGTAATAATATCAAAATATCCATCTCACAAATTGTATTAATTTAAACTTCTACACTTTAAACTCAATTATTTTATTATACTGAAAAACATATAATGAAGCGACTTTAGACATTTCTAAACACAAAAACACAAAATCATACATATAGAGAGGAAAAACCCCAAAAAATATATCATATTTTTGGCGGGCGTGCACAAGAATCATAACTAGACAACTTATACTCGCTGGAGTAGCAAGTTTATTAACTATTCTCTCTATCTTGAAATGATAGTGGGATTTGGATTTTTCATTTTCAGGGTAAAGTAAACTAAAAGCAAAATCCTAATATAAACTAGACAAATTGTTTCGAGATAGAGTGAATACTTTAGAAAGTATGATGCCATGTCGCACTGTCTTTATGATCACCTGCAAATTGCATCTTGAGCAGCAAGGCAACTGTCCTCGGCTTTCTGACAGTAGGACGGACAATTCGGATCCGGGCTGGCCTCAAAGGAGGTGATACATCCCAAATAGCAAAATCCATACTTGAGGCGACAAAAGCCACAATAATTATCCCTCGGAAGACCCCTATCGGCTTTTGCATTAGATTTAAAGAGTACAAGAAAAAGCACCAGAGTTGCGAGATTTGCAATGCTAGAAGTCGGAGAAGGAGCCATTAGTTGAGGACTGGCCGGAAAAATTATAACAATGGATAAGCTTCTTAGTTCTCTCCTGTATTTAATTAAGTGGAAAGACTACTTGATGAAAACAACATGAGCTCCTCTTCAATCAATTTATACAACAAGAAAGAATATTCAAGACAATGCTGCCAAGGAAAATTCTTTTTACATAAAAATAATTTCTTTTTTCAGTAGAGGAAAAAATTTTCGCATTAATTTTTAATTCCAATTACACAACCCTCTGTCCCAAAATTATTGTTCAGTTTACGATTTTACTTTCTTTTTATATATACTAAAAATAAAAATTCAAACTCGACAACAAATTGATTTTTTTTCTTTTCTAAAGTATAGTTGGTATGTTGTTGTCTTAAAAGTCATACAACAGTTGTAATATACACTTTTTGAAAAAATTTTATGAGCAACAATTTTTGGGTTAGCGCGCCAAAAAAAAGAAACAAAAAACCACTGTATGTAATATTTATGAGAACGTAAATGTTGGGTCTAGAAATAATGCAATTTAGAAGTAATTTTTTGAGTGAATAAATGAGTGTTTATGCATAAAGGAAAAATTTGATAAGAAAATTTACAAAACATTATGTTTGGCTTAATTTAACTATCTCATACCCTTTAAATAGACAACCCGAAAAAAGTAAAATGTAAATATGGACAGTTGTGATTCATTCTCTTGTTAAAATTACTTGTGAAATTTTCCTATACAAATCATTATCCTACATAAATATTGTGTTTAAATTTTTTAATTTTTGAATAAATATTATGGTTCACGTTACATTTTAAATTTCCCAAGAGTATTAATAGAAAATAACTTTTTTTAAAACAAAAATAGTTGTTATTTTTATTAAAATCGCTCTCAATTTCTTAAGATTTTCTCTTCCTAAAAAAAACCGCGGAGATCATAAAAGATTATCTGTGAGTGGGTTTTACTTCAGTTAGTTGGAGACTAGATATGCAAACTCCTAATGCCCATCATCAATGAAATAAATAATGTGAATAAATATTATTCGAATTAATATTGTTAATATATATTACAGTTCAAAGAAAAATCAATATTAACCAGGTACCGAACGATTATTCTTAGTTCAATAATTACTTAACCATCTCTTGAAAATAATAGATCAAAAGATGTTGAGTAGTACTTAACCAACAGAGTCGTATCCTTTGATTTATTTAGCTGACATTTAATAGATCAAAAGATGCTGAGATTATTAAATATTATCTGTGAGCAGGTTTTACTTCAGTTAGTTGGAGACTAGACACTCAAACTCCTAATGCCCATCATCAGTGAAATAAATAATGTGAATGAATATTATTAGGAATAATTTTGTTAAGATACACTACGGCTCAAAGAAAAATCAATATCAACCAGGGACGAAACGATTATGCTTAGTTCTATAATTAATTAATCATTCCTTGAGATTGATATATCAAAAGATGTTGAGTAGTACTTAACCAGAAGAGCTGAATCATTTAATTTATGTAGCTGAATCATTTAATAGATCAAACGATGTTGAGACTTGAGATTATTAAAGATTATCTGTGCGCGAGTTTTACTTCAGTTAGTTGGAGACTAGACATTCAAACACCTAATACCCATCATCAATGAAATAAATAATGTAATGAATATTATTAGGAATTGTTAAGATATACTATGGCTCAAAGAAAAATCGATATCATCCAGGCACCAAACGAATTCTTATTTCTATAATTAATTAATAATTTCTTGAGAATGATAAATCAAAAGATGTTGAGTAATACTTAACCAGAAGAGCTGAATCATTGGATTTATGTAGTTGAATCATTTAATACATCAAACGATGTTGAGACTTGAGATTATTAAAGATTATCTGTGAGCGGGTTTTACTTCAGTTAGTTGGAGACTAGACACTCAAACACCTAATACCCATCATCAATGATATAAATAATGTAATGAATATTATTAGGAATTGTTAAGATATACTATGGCACAAAGAAAAATCGATATCATCCAGGCACCAAACGAATTCTTAGTTCTATAATTAATTAATAATTTCTTGAGAATGATAGATCAAAAGATATTGAGTAATACTTAACCAGAAGAGCTGAATCATTCGATTTATGTAGCTGAATCGTTTAATAGATCCAACGATGTTGAGACATGAGATTATTGAAGATTATCTGTGAGCGGGTTTTACTTCAGTTAGTTGGAGACTAGACGCTCAAACTCCTAATGCCCATCATCAATGCAATAAATAATGTGAATGAATATTATTAAGAATAATTTTGTTAAGATATACTACGGCTCAAAGAAAAATTGATAACAACCAGGCACCAAACGATTATTCTTAGTTCTATAATTAATTAATCATTTCTTGAGAATGATAGATCAAAAGATGTTGAGTAGTACTTACAAGAAGCGCTGAATCATTTGATTTATGTAGCTGAATCATTTAATAGATCAAATGATGTTGCGACTTGAGATTATTAAATATTATCTGTGAGCAGGTTTTACTTCAGTTAGTTGGAGACTAGACACTCAAACTCCTAATGCCCATCATCAATGAAAGAAATAATGTGAATGAATATTATTAAAAATAATTTTTTTAAGATATACTACGGCTCAAAGAAAAATCGATATCATCCAGGCACCAAACGCTTATTCTTAGTTCTATAATTAATTAATCATTTCTTTAGAATGATAGATCAAACGATGTTGAGTAGTACTTAACCAGAAGAGCTGAATCATTTGATTTATGTAGCTGAATCATTTAATAGATCAAACGATGTTGAGACTTGAGATTATAAAAGATTATTTGTGAGCGGGTTTTACTTCAGTTAATTGGAGACTAGACACACAAACTCCTAATGCCCATTAAATAAATAATGTGAATGAATATTATGAGGAATAATTTTGTTAAGATAAACTACGGCTCAAAGGAAAATCGATATCAACCAGCCACCAAACGATTATTCTTAGTTCTATAATTAATTAATCATTTCTTGAGAATGATAGATCGAAAGATGTTGAGTAGTACTTACAAGAAGAGCTGAATCATTTGATTTATGTAGCTGAATCATTTAATAGATCAAACGATGTTGAGACTTTAGATTATTAAAGATTATCTGTGAGCGTGTTTTACTTCAGTTAGTTGGAGACTAGACATTCAAACACCTAATACCCATCATCAATGAAATAAAAAATGTAATGAATATTATTAGGAATTGTTAAGATATACGACGGTTCAAAGAAAAATCGATATCAACCAGGCACCAAACGAAATCTTAGTTCTATAATTAATTAATAATTTTTTGAGAATGATAGATCAAAAGATGTTGAGTAATACTTAACCAGAAGAGCTGAATCATTTAATACATCAAACGATGTTGAGACTTGAGATTATTAAAGATTATCTGTGAGCGGGTTTTACTTCAGTTAGTTGGAGACTAGACACTCAAACTCCTAATGCCCATCATCAATGAAATAAATAATGTGAATGAATATTATTAGGAAGAATTTTTTTAAGATATACTACAGCTCAAAGAAAAATTGATATCAACCAGGCACCAAACGATTATTCTTAGTTCTATAATTAATTAATCATTTCTTGAGAATGATAGATCAAAAGATGTTGAGTAGTACTTACAAGAAGCGCTGAATCATTTGATTTATGTAGCAGAATCATTTAATAGATCAACGATGTTGCAACTTGAGATTATTAAATATTATCTGTGAGCAGGTTTTGCTTCTGTTAGTTGGAGACTAGACACTCAAACTCCTAATGCCCATCATAAATGAAATAAAAAATGTGAATGAATATTATTAGATTTTGTTAAGATATACTACGGCTCAAAGAAAAATCGTTATCAACCAGGCACCAAATGATTATTCTTAGTTTAATAATTAATTAACAATTTCTTGAGAATGATAGATCAAAAGATGTTTAGTATTTAACCAGAAAAGCTGAATCATCTGAGTTATTTATTCTAGGATTAGTCTATTTTACCTATTCCTTAATACAAAACCCCTTAATTTATGACAATTAAAATTTTGAATAATGATGATACGTACACAGAACAAATTACAAGGAAATTCGAGAAAGAATAGTTACACCTATTCATTTTCTAAACTTTCTATTTTGGATTTAAACATTTAAGGTTAGTGTATAGATTAGAATTATTGACACATCATTCTTTGGAGTATTACTCGTGATTTTTTGTCAGTATATATAGTAACATCCTGTCTCATATCGCCACTTAAAAAAGTGAATGACCTGTATATAAGTCTCAAACTCATAAACTACTAACAATTTTGGTTAATTATTTTGGGCTAGCGAGGACTAACGCCTGAAAGTTGTTGGGACAGTTTATGAGGCTGGGATGTTACAAATGGTATCAGAGTGTACCTTGGTTTAGGAGCTAAGTGTTACGTGTGGACACACCTGTGAGTCCACTGACGGAATAAGTAAAGAGACACCGATAAACCTGCAGACGGGACAACTGCGAAACATAGGAGCCACCTCTAGAATCCTATTCTGGGGGAAGACTAAACCATATTCTTGCTTGTTGGGCTTTACCAGGACGCAAAGATCCAAATGGGGTGCGTTGTAACATCCTGTCCCATATCGCCAACTGACAAAGTGAATGATCTGTATATAAGTCTCAGGCTCATAACCTACTAACAACTTAAATTAACCATTTTGGGCTAGTAGGACGAAAGTCTGAAAGTTGTTGGGTCAATTAATGAGGCTGGGATGTTATGTATATAACTATTCTAAGACTTTCTTCACCAATCCAACTAATTAATCAATTGGATTATGATTCGTGCATGGAAATTTTGCAAAGAAATTTTTTTACAAGAAATGAATAAAAGCCGTCCAAATTTATATCTTTTCTTTGGGAGTTTATTGAGTAGTGATATATGTAAGGCAAA